TAGGGACCTTAAGAAACCACGACGGCGACGCCAAGGAAGACTTCGATTAAAAAATGAATTTCTACTCTTAGTTAGAATTTCAAAAATGGCTGCAGGAGCTTACTATCTCATACGGCGCCACAGCTCAACTTCGGCATGACGTATAAAGTAGCCGTTGAGTTCCAAATGGAAATTAAAATAATTTGCCGTCGCGGTTTCGGTTCGCAGACGACGCAAATTTTGGCGATTTCACGTTGTTGTTTTGCATAGGACAGCTAAGAAATGTACAAAGTTTCAAAACGCACGTGCTGAGCTATTGTTCTGCCAATTAGATCTCTTGTTTTTTCACGTCCTCGTTGCCGTCGCCGTCGTGGTTTCTTAAGGTCCCTATTAGGGACTTTACGGCAACGAGAACGTGGAAAAATAATAGATCTAATTGGCTGAAGAGTAGCCCAGCACGTGCGTTTTAAAACTTTGTACATTTCTTAGCCGTCCTTTGCAAAACAACAACGTGAAATCACCAAAATTTGCGTCGTCTGCGAAGCGAAACCGCGGCGGCAATTTATTTTATTTTACATTTAGAACTCAACGCTACTTTTATGCGTTATGTTGAGTTTGAGGTCTGGCGCCCTATGAGACGGTAAACACATGCAGCCATTTTCGAAGTTCTAACTAAAAGTGGAAACTCATTTTTTATAATCGACGACTTCCGTTCTGTTGCAGTCCTGACTGCTTAAAGTAAGTGCTACCGTTGTCGAATTACAGTGGGCTCTTGTGAGTCAGCGGTGTGTGCAGTTTATAGTGAGAGAATTTGCGGAATAAATGGTAAATTTCTGTCGCTCTTTAAGGTTACAAAGTTCCTGTAATTCTCCTTTGATTCAATTGATTTTGTAGATATGTTAAATACATTTTGCGATAATTTGCTTCGCGCATTGTTTTGTAATTCGATGAACCGGCTTCTCCTAATTAAGCGAGATATTTTTAAATTTGCAGCATAAAAACTTGAATTACTTGATGAAGCGTTCGAAACAAAAACAATTTAATATGGAGAAAAAAGCCGTGAAACCGCAGTCTTAGCAACGCTGCACATCAGCAATAATTTAGAAGCCTTCCTTGATGCAAACAATGCCAAAGGAAAGTTAATTGCTTAGAAAGGTGATTTATTTACGTTGACATAAACTTCGTCGCTATTTGGCATATTCAGCGAAGGTCAAATTGCATTGTTAGCATCAAATTGTTTTGAACAAAAAAACCGCGCGCGGTGAACGCATGACGTCACGATCGTCTCCTAGCAACGGCAAAGAGAAAAGCTGATTTGCGGCATGGTTCATCACAATGCCACGAAGAAGTTCCTTTTCTTTGGCGAAAAATTGGTAAGTAATTATTAAATACCAACCGATTAACGCGCCGATTGAAGTCTCGGCGTCGCTCGCTTTTTGACAATTGTTCGGTTTAGGTTAGCTCTTTATAGTTTGATAAACTGAAGCAATTGAGTTAAATTGGTGTTAAATTGAACCTATTGCCATAGAAAATAATTTCATAAACAGAACCGATTTTGGCGCTTTATTTTGTGGCTGAAACGAAATAACCACCCGCCATTTACGCTGATTTATTTATTAATTCCAAAACAGGTGTACGGTAAATAATTCAGGTTATTAACTCTCGTTTGGACCTTTCCACGGCATTCATTCGTTCACGCGATAAAAACATGCCGCGCGTGAAAAACAAACATACATAACAATCAATCACACGGCGGAGCCTTTTTTTGACTTACACTCATTAATAACCGAGCGACCTGAAACGCGCAATTCTTTGTACATTCTAAGCTGACTGTGATTCTTTCAGGCGCTGAGATGGAAACCTCGGCCAGAAGAAGAACCAAGGATGATTCGTTGGCCAAGGAAAGCACTGAATCCGAAGCGCGTCTCGATGGAGCAAGAGTGCCGACGGAAAATCCTCCCTTTACTCTGAAAGATTTAAAAGATGCCGTACCACCACATTGCTTCGAGCGATCTCTCCTGACTTCGAGTTTGTATTTATTGCTGGATTTGACCAGCGTATTTGTGTTCTATGCAGCAGCATTCTGGGCATTTAACGCATCTTTGCCGGTTTATGTTCACGCCGTATTCTGGCCGGTGTATTGGATATGTCAAGGTTGCGTTGGATTCAGCGTGTGGATCATCGCGCACGAATGCGGTCACTACTCATTCTGTAACAACAAGCGGATCTGCGATATCGTCGGGCTAATCTTACACACTGCACTTTTTGTCCCGTATCATTCATGGCGTTTATCGCACGCGAAACATCACCGAAATACCAATCGAATGGACGGTGACGAAGCGTTCGTCCCTAACACAAGAAGCCTTTTAAGGTCGGAGAACGACTTAGAATTTCCAAATATCTTCTTCAGGTGTTTTCATATTGTTAAATACCTAACTATCGGTTGGCCGGCGTATCTTTTTTTTCACGCTCGCGGCAGACCTTATAAGGCAAACCGTCTGCGACCGAGTCATTTCAATCCATATGCTCCCATTTTCTCTCCCGGTGATTTCTGGGATGTGATCGTAAGCGATGTGGCCTTGCTCGTGTGGATTGGTATCCTGTACTTTCTCAGCGCTCATGTGTACTCGTTTGCATGGTTGGGGTGCCTGTACGTGGTGCCCCTCATGAATGTTAACATGTGGTTAGTAATAGTTACCTACCTACAGCACTCCGATGTTAGGGTGCCGCACTACGCCGACGAGGAATGGACTTGGCTTAAGGGGGCGCTGTGCACTGTCGACCGGGATTATGGAATCCTAAACTATGTGTTCCATCACCTTACGGACTGCCATGTAGCTCACCACTTGTTTTCCTACATGCCCCACTACCACATGGCGGAGGCCACTGAAGCCATTAAGCCTGTACTTGGACGGTATTACGCCTATGATGGAACCCCCTTTTGGAAAGCATTATGGAAAACTGACAGCTACTGTCGATTTGTCGAGGACAGCGGCAAAATCTTATGGTATAAATTCTTGCCTGAGCATTGATATAACTACCGAAACTGCGAAAAATTGGTTGCATACTAGAAAAATGTTGATAGTCACTGCTGTTTACTTGAGGAGAACGGAAAAATGTTTGGTTTCAGTTCTTGCCAAAACAGCGATAAAACACTTAAACTACGATTCGATTTCACTAACTTATATTACCAAACGTTGAAAATATCAAGCCTGGAAAGTTTTTATCAGAGCTATTACTTAGCCATCAAGTTGTTTGCGATAATTTCTTGCTCTATGATGACAAAATAGAACTTTCATCAGGTATTTGATACTATGGAGGCAGTTTTTGCAAAATTTAGCAGTTCTGTAAAATGATTATTAATTCATGACAGCGAACTAGACGAAATTGTCAGTGCTTGTCTTCCTTTATACATTATAAATGTACACAATAAAATCCAGGTTTTTTCCTCACTTTGTTTCTCCATCGAAAATAGCGTTTATTTGCGTTATGAGTCAACAAACTTTTCATCCCTGCCACGCGTGGAAGAAATTGGTTGGTTGAACGCGCGTACACATCGTAGTTTGTAGAAATAAGTAATATTTTTAAAGCTATTGTAATTATACGCGCCGTCAAGTCGAAAGACCTTTCAAACTGCCACATGTAATTATAAATCATGAAAAACAGCGGCAATTCACGCGATTATTTTCTGTGTATTAGACCAACAGAAAATTGCTCTCTGGCGCTACTTTTTGTGTTCTTGGTAAATATTCTACAAATAAATTGGAAAATGCTTGAATCAGCTTCCTTTGAATTAACTCTCAAGGTACAAAGATAAGCGTAATGGAAGCAGATATGTACAAGCCCAGCTTAATTTGTTTCTCTAGTGTGTTTTGTTAATCATACTTCTTCATATTTAAATGTTTGGGGAAACTTTTAAAAATGTTTACACTGTAGATGTCTAAAAAGTGCGTTATTGAAATATCGCAACTCTTGAATCATATTGGGAAATTACAACCAGTGTAAACCAAACAATTAGTTCGATCATCTGCCCGATCGTCCGAATCACCGATAATCGTTTAACCTAGTTTTCTAGAGAACTTTTTGGATCGATTGAGTGATTCTCTTTCGAGGCGCCATGCACACTAATGGTTCTCGATCAAAACTGCCGGTTTATTCTATAATAAATGCGTTTTGCCCAACGTCCGAACTGAGATGAAAACGGAGACTTTCAAATATTTTTTTTTAACGTGGAGAGTTTTAACAACGCATCGAATCTCAAAATGCTCATTTCTTGTGTGGACGCTTGTAAAGAGCCACGCCCAACCAGTGTGCCTTGCGCACCCTTGTTATTGTTATCATCCGAGAACGCGATACTTTATCTCACAAACTCACGAACGGCAAAAAAAAATACCGAAGCGGCTTTCCACCTCAGGACGACTTCTTTTCGATGGTTTCTTTGTCGCGGCCGCCAAATGAAACAACAAAATTACGCAACAAATAGACGATAAACACTTAAAGAAACTAGACGAGGGCATAAAATGCCGGTTCTCGATCAAGATTGCAAAGATCTCGTCGAATAATATTACACTCAAGTTCGAATTTCTTTTTCTGTTATTAATACAGAAAACGCTTAGAATGGCCGCTTTGCCCGCAATGATTCTGGTTGTGCGTGACCCTGTTAAGGAAGACCACGGAAATGCGCCACACACATGAACTGTCGTTAAGTTTCCAGCTGCCTTTTTGGGCGACACGCTGTGAACGATCGAGGAAAACGTATCAAAACGTTTGTGTTTTAAAGTAAGGTTAAAAACAGTTTGTTTCGTATGTTTGATATAAAAACAGACACTTTTGAAAGTGGGAAAAGTTTCTAAAGGAACTGTGGTGCTGCGTCCAACCATTCGCTCTGACGAAGGGCTAACGCTCGAAACGTCAGCTTTTTTACTCTTTACGGTGGCCAATTTACAATTTCAACTTAGATATAACCAAATTACTTTTGAAAGCGGATTAATGCAGTCGGGTCTTCGAAGGGGTGGGGAGCTCCCTTCAGTCTTATGAAAAATAAGCCTTGGGAAAAGTGAGTATTTTTATCCGTGTGAAAATGCACTTTCCAGTTTAACCAACATAGCTGAAAGGACGTAAAACTACAAGCACCTTAGCCTCCTACGCAGACGTTCTTTGGGCTCGTCGTGGGGGAGGAAGATTGCGTGACGAGCCCAAAGAACGTCTGCGTAGGAAGCTACAAGCACCTTTGAGGAGTCATTTTAAGAAATCTTTAATAAAATTACAGTGGAAACATATTTTTTACACAAAGTTTGTTACAAAATGCCTTTTAAGCCAAACAGGGAAGACCAACACACCCAAAACTTTAACTCTCTCAATAAACACTATTCATTTGTAAACACCACACAAACTTTACACTACTGCGGGTTATGGTAAATTCCGGAAAATACCATAATATTCAATTATAGCCTAGTTTGGTTGTTACTTAATGTAAGCAACACAAAATGCATGCGCTACGCATCAACTTCTTGAAAATATAATTGACCTAAAGCGATGCTTTCGTAAGCAAAATATAATTTAGTTTAGTCTATGTTTGGTTCGGAAGCATAAAAGTTCAACGCTCCACTTATTCCTTGAGAATTTCGCAATTAACGTAACACGACAATCTAACTTTCTGAATTCCACTATTTTAATTTACTCACGCAAGTCGTCCAATTGGTCTATAATCATACTTGTAATTGACAAATCAGAAGTCGATTCGCAGTACTCACTCGAATGATTACTGACCCAATCCAGACCCAGATTCCACTCGGTCTATTACCATCACTAATTCTAGACTTACTATCATGTACTGTTATTATATTCTTCAAATATCGCTGACATTTTTCAAATCATTCCGAAATAAAGATGTCCATTTGTATATCAAATGGGGAAGAGCAAACTTCGTAAAGCTGTGCATTTTTACTCTGTCGTTTCCCATGATGCATGGGCCCAGAAAAAAATTGCCTGTTCAAGTGGACATTCCAAATATTAAACCCAACAACAACACACATTAATCAGTCCAGATATTAATCATAATATTCTGCCGAAAAAAATCCCAACGGCTTCTGATAATCGATAATCTAATCAATATACAAAGCCATATACTATATTTATCTACTAAATATGAACTGAGGATTGCGTAGTTTTTAGTACGTTTTTAAATCTTATTTCAACAGAGACTCTTCTATTTATACTTAAATGACATTCTTCATCCACCAAGACAGGCCATGGCGGATTTAACTGAAAATTTTTTTTCACCTTTCGATTGTTTATACTAGTTTCCACCAAGCTATCTAATAAATACGAAGAGAGAAGTAGCTTTTGTGCCAGCCACTGAAAGGGCAAGCAAGGCCGTCAAGAATTGCGCAATCTCTCATCTAATTGGTCGAGAGGACCGATCTGAACAATAAGAGCTAATTGGTTAGCGTGCGTTGGACCCAAATTAAAAACTAGACAAACTTTTCACAAAAATCAAAAAACAAAGCTGAAAAGAAAAAAAATCTGTACACACCCAACCTGCCTGTTGTGCAGGCTAACCCTCTACACAAAGCGTCATACAACTGAATGATTACCCACAAAACGTTCGATTTGGCTTCGCAGCTCATCGTTGGGCCGAACTTCAAAATCCGTCAAGGTCTCGTTAGTCATCGGACTACTTCGCTTCTTTCGGAACCAACGACGGATAGCTTTGCGCTCGTAATTGTAACCATCAGATGCTTTAACCGGATCTGACATGATCTTGTTTGTGATCGGACAAAGGAAATCGAAGGGTACTTCGGTGTCAAACTCCATTGCCGATACCGGTGGAGGCGCAGGACTTACAACCCGGACTTGGGAGGTAGCCGACAGGGGCCTGGGGGGAGCCGACGGCTCGGGAAAATGTTCGACGGTCAGCAGAGATTTTTCAGGAAGAGGGCCTGAGAGATAATTAATGCGGGAAACTGAATTAAAAAATTAACTGGGAAGAACTCGAAAAAGGTTAAAAAAAAAAAAGGTCTACTGTAAAGCCTTCTGCAGCATTATCCAACTCACCAGCTTCTTCCTCTTGGGGAGCCTGTTTCTTTACTGGATCACCTGTGGATTCATTGCCCCGTATGGGTGGAAGAACTGCCCTGGAAAGGGGTGCATAAACTGCGCCTGGAAAATAAAAACAGTCTTAGCCATAATAACCAAAAATAAAGGCATCTTGAAAAACCTTTAGGAATTCAAAAAGTAGAACGCTATTTGGCCAGCAGTAGAGAGAGCCTAAATATGACACAATGATGGCAGTGAAACTTAACGAGATAAAGATTGAACGGACACAACAGGGGCTGGAGGGATGCGATACAAATTTTCTATCCATTTTCAGTTAGAGTGCAAAGTAAAATGGAACCAGAATTTGTTAGACAAAAACAAGCTAATTCTTAAAAGTGCACATAGAGTTTGATAATAAATAATTTCAAGACGGCCACGAGTCTTAAAATGAGGACAAATTTCGGAAATGATTTTCTCTTATTAATCTAAATGGCTTACCAGGGGCAGCAATGCCATTTGACACAGGGGCTCTGCAAGAAAGAAACAATATAAGCTATAATTAAAACTAGCTATGGTTCAGTGGTGAAGTATTCGGTGAACGAAGCTGGGGCTGTGAATTAAAATTCTTTACAGGAACTCAGTGGTTTACCCAATTCTTACGACAAATTACTACTTTAAATTATAATGGTTTACGATATAAATCTGGTGTTGTGAACCGGGTATGGAAATTGTCAACAAATAGATTTTGCCCAGCCTAAAAGCGGAGCTCCAGCCTTTGTTGAGACTGTCCATGAGTTTGTTTACAACAACCTGTTCAACCTTTTTAGCATGTAAAAGGATGCAAAATCCGTGCGAAATAGTAAACAGCACGGCCTAGCGAAAAACTGAGCGAGGTTTGGGTCGGGTTGCGTAGTGATCGCGTCCATTACACGACCTGACCCAGACCTCTCTCTTTCTTTTAATCGCGTATCGTTTTACTCACTAAACGCCTGGAACAGGTTAATTTACCACAGTAACGAGACCAGTCATTATTTAGATGGGGCGAGGAGAAACAAGAAGAGCCAAGGGTTTGTTTTAGTCGCAAGACGGCCAACTGTTTGTAATTTGAATTATCTGTGTTTTACAGATGACAGTTTGCATAAGAGAGCATCACACGAAGCTGCAAAATATATGTCCAAACGTGACAACGCTCTTTGTTTTTCTTTCGCAAGGCAAGACGTTTTCGAAATTGTTGATAAGAAAAGTAGGTATGAAGCAGGTCACAGATTAATGCAGTGAATAACCTACCACATCAAAAAGTTCTATCTGGCTTAATCAGCTTTGGTTCCTCTCAGGGATGTAGACTCGTGGTAATTAAATAAATAACCTTTCATTGCCTTTTATTTTGAAAAACTTACTATAAATGGTATTATGCAAACATGACCTGTCTATTACCTACCTGTCATCCTTTGCGGCCTCCCTCAGACTTGTCACCGACCCAATTCCCGTTGCTGTCGTAGAGTTCGCTGCCTGCCGTACGGCTTCGTAAGCAGGGGGGGCTGAGTACAGCTGAGCGTAACCGGGGTTATCGACTCCCACAGGGGCCATTCCTCCCCCGGGGGTAGCAGCGAACGGTACGAAATAGACATTCCCGGGAGCTGCTTGACTGTATGGAGGAGGTGCAGCTGTAGAGAGACACAAAAAGAGGTTAAAACTACTCTTGGAGTATGAAGTTTGTCCCCTCAACTTGTTTGATCATTTGTATTTTCGGGGTGGAAAATAGGAGTAACCGGGGAAAACTCACAGGAGGAAAATAACGATTAAGAAACTCGAGGTAAATAAGAAGTAAGATCTAGGTTCGGGAATCGAACACGGACAACTGCGATCGGATACAAGATTACTGTAAAAAGTTAACGAAAGCTGTAATCGTCGAATCCCGCACTTTGTCCATACGATATATCGCTGACATATCGACGATATCTAGCGCTCCTTATGGCGACAATAGAGCGATAAATTGACAAGATATACATCAGTACACTGCGCCAACCAGCTCTTCCTCTTCCACAAACTTGACAATAATCCCTTACCAGTAAAGTAAGCGGTGGGCTCCTGGGCAGGTGCGGCGAACGCTGGAGGTTGGTCCTGACCAGCAGTTACAGGCTGGGCAGCTTCTCCATTTCCCTGGGTCGCTGTCATGTTGATTGATTCACAATCGCCGTACGTTTCATTAACAAACCCGTGACGGACTAGAAATGAAAAAAAATGAAATCAAATCGTAATCTTTTCGCCAGAGGCATCAACAAGAGTTCAAAGTTATAAAGAGAAAAGGTACCAAAAACCCAAAACGTTTTCTACAGGTGCGCCATGCGGTCCGGCGCTTAAATCGAAAGGGCGATGCCTGTTCTCCCCAAGAGCGCATCAATCAAGAACTTGAACGTCACATCCTGGATACAAATATTCGAAAGAATTGCACTGAAAACTTGAGGATGATTCGATGGGAGAAACAGGCACGCACATCAAAAGCCATCACGTTCATTCCAAAGAGTTCATTGGTTCACTCAGATCATATTCTGTGTTAGGTTTGTCGATTTTCTTCGAGATATTGGCGCGCAGCCCTCGCGCACGCCCAACGTTTGACCGCTGTTGGCAACGGTTGGATTAGAAATTCGTTACAAATAAAAATAAAATTACGAGTAACCCTTGCTCCTATGATTCACTGAACATCAACGATTCAGGATAATTTAAAAATCGGTCCAGTATTTCGACGGTCAGAGATCATGAAAACTAGCTGTCACGATGCCTCCCATCAATCCGTGGACGCCAAAAAGTTTGGTTAATAATTACTATTTCCATTTCAGGAGTTGCCGCATTTTGAACGCGAAAACAGTGAAGTGTTCTTTTGGAAAATATCATTAGCCTCAATATGAAACGTCTACATTTTAAAACGGTTGCTCCCAATAGAATAGGGTCGTGGTTAGCTAATTAAAATAACATGAACCCTGGCCTTACAGTATGGCAGCCTACAATATACAGTTGCTATCTCTCTACCTCCTTGGTTGAGTCTCTTCTTTCTATTTTTGAGAAACAGGAGGATGACGAGTACCACAATGATCATCAGCAGAATGGGAATGACGATACCAGCAATAGTGCCCCCACTCATGGCATCCTTAATTGTGTCTGAAGAAAAAGAGAGAGAGAGAGAGCGGATTTAAGGCGATGTGGATTGATGGATATGATAAATTACGTTTATGTAAAAAAAAAAAAAAAAACAAAAAAAAAAAAAAGTAGCCTCCCTTTGGTATGAAAATATTATGCAGTTATTGACCGAGCGTATGGGAGGATCGGAGGAGAAAATAAGAAGCGCGAGGTCACTAAGCACCCTATCATGCGATTGCCACTCTTTCTATTTCTTCCTTTCTTGCAATTTGCATCTCGCGGGGAAATACGCGGGACTGTAAGGTTTTTACTAGCCCTGCTTCAACCATCGCGTACGGTTCACATACGGGAGTATATTCTTAACTGCTATTCAAAAAAAGAACGTTCGGGGCCGTATGGGACATGATACTTAACAAATCGACAGTGGTTTAGTGTGGTCTGTACTCTTGTCGACTATGGTAACTTAGCCAACGAGATTGCGACATTACTACCAATTGTGGTAAGAAAATTTCTATTACAAGAGGACTATTTCTCTGCTAAGAAAGCTTCGCTCTTAGAAGACGAGGATCAGATTGTGCCCAAGGAAAAATTTTACACCTTTTTTGCGCCAAAGAGAAGCTGTTACGTTTATCGAGTAAACTAAGAAGAAAGAAAGGTCGTACCGACAACATACAGGTCATCTTGTAACAAAAATTAATTCTCAAATATTCCGTTTTACTGTGATTGCTTTTACATGCGTTAAAGGAAAGACCTAATTGAATTAAGCTTTCGCTTGAAAAAGCACAAATATAGATAAAAAGATGAAAAACTATGAGCTACCTTTTCGCTCCTCTGCAGTGTTCACCTGACGAGGCGTAGGTGGCTCTGTTCCAGTCAAAGGAACTAAGGAACAGAAAAACAAGCAAAACGTAAATCGGCCGAGCTTTGAAATGCCACAAAAGGCTCAAAGTGTTTAGAAACGTTTGTGGTCATTTGCCGTCGCAGAGTACAAGAGCAAATGCAGAACGGACCATTTTCTTTTCCCAGCTCCTCCCATCCAGTTTTCGTTCGCTAAATCCTCGGCGGCTCTCGTTTTGTTCGTACTCCAGACGAAAAAAAAAAAGAGATCAGTGAACAGACTGCGGTTTTGAAACGGGTGTTCGTATGGGTTTATGCGCTCTAAAAGCAATTCTTTGTTTCATGTATGTTTCAAGAAAATAGTTCTTGACGCGATTTTGGACAGAAGGGAACGTGTTTTGTACGCTAGCAAAGTTAAAAATCAATCAATCTGTCACTGTAACATAATAAAAGCAGTAAACTGAATGATGTTCAGGGCCGGTTGTTCAAACAGTGGACGACGCTATCCAGCGAACAAGTGTTACCAAAACGTACCCCGCTATCCACAGGAGCGTCATCCACCCTTCGAATAACCGGGGCCAGATTTTCATTTACCTACAGGATTACTGAAATCAAAATTTAATTAGCCCACATTCAGACAAGCCGAAATCGCTGCATTAAGAAAACAACGCCAAAAAATGCAGTGCGCATAAACAACCCTGTATAAGCAGCAAACAAAAGCGGGACAACGCATGTGGCATAGTAATAGATGGTGGAAGTTCTTGTCTTGATCAATGTAAGACTGCTTCGGTAGAAAGTGAGTTTTAGTCAATCGGATATTAATCCAAACGTTTTATAACACATGCTGTCTTCAAGAGATTTCTGCAAATACTGCCAAACGGGTCATATTGAGTTTGCGAATAGGGTTGATCAACGCAAGCGATTAACGGACTTGGTGACTTGCCAGTTCGGCCCTTCCATTAACAAAATTTTGTCGTTAATCAGAATTCACTGGCCACATCAGTCGATTCAGACATTTTGTATACTTTTCTGACAAAGTTTTTACAGAAAAAAAATAAAATAAAATAAAAAACAAAGGAAAAACCTCGGCAAAGGCTTCATTCTTTTTCAAGCAAATCAGCCGGGTCAGCCGGTTCCAAACTAAGCTAAACGCGAACTAATAGAAATGTCAGGTACAAATTGGCTTGTTTGCCCCAAGATTTTAGACTTATTTTACCTGTGATATCCTGGTAGAAAATTCAACTACGTTACCTTTAGTGGATGTTGGTTTGGGGTTAATGATTGAAGATGACTTCAAAATGATGGTGGAGGTTGGCAAGATGTTGTTGAATGTTGTCATGGTTTTGTCTGTCTGATGAATAGTTCCTGTTCGTAACGTTAAGTAATTGATGCGAAACAATACAAACAAATTGTTTTAAAGTTAAGACCGATACTTTCATAGTCATTAATCTTTTAATATAATTTCTCAGATGATTAAAGATATGCCTACTTTCTGGTTGGTCGATAAATCATTTTGCGTGAGTATGGTTACCACACGATATCTTGACGTCATTAGTAAATAACTTCAGTTGCTCTGGTAATCACCCGAGCAATTAAACAGTTATTACCTCAAGTTCAGCGAATAATGTTATTGTTGTTCTTACTATATTATATTTTTTATAATAGGCGGGTAACATTACGGGAGATGCATGTGAAGCAATACCAAATGGCCCGTTACAAGGATTTACTTTTATTGCGATACTTATCGAAAATCGACTTTTAAGATATACATTTCAAGCTTTAGCAAGTTCTTCATACTTTGAGTATTATAAATAGACTACATTTCCATTTAGAAATCTGACAATTGGGGTTAAATCGATAATAATTGTGAGCAATCATAATTAAAATAAGTATACGCATTCAGTAGCATACGTCAGTTAATTTTTTGTTTTTGGTTATTTAACTTTAAAGAAGTTAAAATCAATCCATTGGTCGTGTTACTGTACCATAATACGTAATTTCTACTTCTGTAGAAAGTGAGTTTTCGTTATATTTGTTGGTTAGTTCAAAAGCTATACCTTTGCCAGATGAGTTTGTCGCCTGGATTGTAGTCGCTAAAACTATCGGTGTGCTTGAAGACGGCTTGATTACTACTTTGTGAGTAAGAATTAACGGAGAGCAAGATTCAAGTTTCTATTGATGTTGTTTAAGAAGTCTTACGAAAAAATGGCGACATAGCATATTTTTTCACACGAGGTTTAATGTATTGTTGAGGTACTCCTAAGTCTTGCACTGGCGTTAAAAATTGTCCTCTTCCTAAACTGTCAACTGTTGCGCAAGTAGGTAAACTGTGATCGAGCTCGGGGAGGGGGGTACGTAGTTCCCTTTTCTATTTCCATAGGGTGATCTTTTGAGAAGGAATAGCGTGCACGAAAGAATTTTACAAGCGTTTAGAAGTGCAAACGGATACGTGCGACTAACGCCTGAACATTCTCCATCTACGTTAGTGGTGCTTTCATCTACTGCCGTGGCTTAAAGGCATGCAGGAAAACAGACAAATTTTTTTTTTTACCTGTAGAGGCCATCTGACTGGTCACTGGTGGCATCTGTGTAGTCAAGCTTTCCTCACTAATATTAACTAGAGGTGAACAAATGTTTTGAAGATTAAAAGGGAACTTAATCAAATTTTGCGAAACAAGACCATGCATTTCTCGGTTAATGATGAAGAAAAGTTAAGTGGTGCAGGCGAGATGTGTAGACTACACAGAGACAGGGTCTTCACAAGCTATGGAGGCTAACAGCTCACACATGCCATTAGCATTGGCATTAGCAGTTCGTCTGTGATTTGCGCAACTTAAATATTTTTACACAAAACCTGTATCTTGTTTGAGAATTCGAAGCGTCCTGAAAAACTTAACGAGGAAAAGGTGGAAACGTCGTCTTTTTTAAACTTATTTCTCACGGAATCTCATCACACCTAAAAACACTCTTTGCAGAAACGTTAACAAGAGGTTTGTGTCGTGTACTTTTTAAGTTTTAATTTCGTGTTTTGGATTCTCTTTCCTGTGACGTTTACCAGTAATTTTTGACTTGATACACTAGACAAGTATCTCTTAACTTGTGTCGAAAGATGTTTATCACATGACATGCACTAACAGGGTTCTTGCACTTTTTCAGGAACCCAATTCGAGGACTTTCAAGGACTGTTCAGGTCATTTTCAACGACCTTGGCTCTCAAATTCAAAGACCTTTTGCATTAAATGGAAGGTACTAGAAATTAAAAAACATTGCTGTATATTGCATTTCAATAACACAAGCGTGCGTGCTGGACCGGCCAAAAGTCCAACGAGCGTAACTTCACGCATGCGCATCAGAGTGACCACGTGCTAGGTAACCAAGGTTATTTTCAAGGCACCAATCACGTACAAAATATATAAAAAACATGAGTCAAATATCGTAATCGGACGCGGGATTGGAAAGGAAAACTCGTTTTGGCGAGTTGTGTTAGAAACGTACACTTTCAACACCGAAAACAAAAGAAAACTTCGACTTTGATTCATCTGCAAATATTTTCAAGAACTTTTCAGAAATTTTCAAGGACCTTAGCCCAAATTCAAGGGTTTTCAAGTACTTGAAAACAAAAAATTGAATTCAAAGACTTTCAAGGATTTTTAAGAAGCGCGGGAACCTTAACTGAGTTTAGGAGCTTTGATAATCCTTATGATGAGATCAACGATGCGAGCTTAGGATCAAAAGGAATTTTACCGAAGGCAGTAACTGACTTTCTGACATTTCACATGGCAGACAAGTGATAAGAATGCATGATATTATAAATCTAATAAATCAAGAATCTAGTTTATTTGCTAACTGAAATATTTTAACCCCAGTAATGAGAGATTTAAGTGTACATGGAGAAACAGAATCTATCGCGAAAGAGTTTAAAATTACAATATCATAGACGGTTGTAAAATGAGTGAGAATTATCTTTATACCCAGAATCGTCTCTAATTCAATATAGCAAAAGCCAACCAGTTCAAAAATTCCCAAGCGTATGTGGGTGCCGTCATTTTCTCGTGTAAATGTGATGTGGTGCAGTTCCTGGCAACTCAATCTTCCGTGATGCGCGGGGCAGGGCTCAATCGCCGTGTCACGCAATAGGTGACGGTGCGTGAAAAGCTAATGCAGTTGGCTTGGCGTTGTTAAAAGCGGCTACTAGAATTGGCAGAAAGAAGCTCTACAACTTGTAACTTTTTTTCAACTTATTGATAGTGCTGGAAGCTTACTATCAGCCTTTCATAGCGAGACGTGCACACGGCCAGCAGCGTGGACAAAGCAGCTTTATAGGCTTTTAGCGGCAACAATTACGACAAGAATCTCTATACAACGTGACACAAAGTGACACAGAAGAACAAAGAGCGTGCTAAAACACAAATGCAACGTATCTTTTATTCATGCTTTTCGTCTGTTGGTAAGGATAAGTAATAAGAGTCAAGTGAAGCATTTTTCCAGGAGGTCTGCTGCTTCACCAAGCAACAATTTCGGTAAAGTTTCCCTTACAGTTCTTCGGTACTGCTCTATACTACTAGATACTGCTCTATACTACTAGATAAAGGCAGGTATAGCGAGAGTCAGGAGACTCTGTGCCCCGGGAACACAACACCATGATTACACTAGGGCTCGACCCAAGATCTCACAATCCAGAGTCCAACTGGAACCCAATTAATCACCGTGTTTTCCTCTCAAAATCAAACAAACAAGCGCGTAAACCTAATATTTCCAAACATGAAAAAATTCACCAACCTCTTGTATAGCGGAGATAAAATCCTTTTCCAGTATTCGCTGAGTCAGTAACGAACACCAAACGTACAAAAGATCCTTTTGACAAAAATGACCAAGGCGCCGGGGAATCCCTGGAATTCTCAGATGACTCTTGATCCTCTATGGTTAGTTTGTCACCCAGTCCTCCTGCATGAGCTTCATGATTGACGTCTTCTTTCAATACTGATAAGTGTATTCGGTAACCAGGGGCAACCCGTATGAACCAGCGACAAAGCAGATTGTTGTCATAGTTTGAGGGGTAGTTTGGACTATGGATAAATCCACTGCTGTGATATTTATCCAAGTACCCAAAGGTTGTGTTCACACTGTGTGATATACCGTTACATCCTTTAAAAAAAAAAAGGTACCAATGTAAGTAGACAGCATTAGTTGATCACTGCTATGGAGGTGCGCATGAGAAAAGCCATAAATTACTAAAAGACGACCAAATTAAGAATACTTAATAAATCGACTACGTTTTTTCTTTCATATAATATGGAAATGGAAGCAAAAACGCACAAACTTAAAAAGTTACATCTTTCCCAACAAGGCGATGCTATGTCTTGTCACTGATTTATTCATTTTGTTTTTTCAGTTTTTTTTTTTGCGACACAATACCCAGTGCATACGCCTTAACATGAACAAGTCTCTTTCAAATAAATAGTTTAACAAAGAAGAAAAACCTTCGTTGAAGAAGGCGTCAACGCAGTTCTCGAAGAAACGATTCCTCTCTTATAGAAAGTATAAATGGCAGCAAAAACGCACAAACGTTAAAAAAAGTCACATTTTTGTAAACAACACAGTAACGAAAGCTCCTACCTCCCTCCACCATTTGATAAAGTGGCAGTTGTGATGGCGGAATAGTTGTGCTTACTGATGATGTCGTGGGAGCGGCTGTGGGTGCACCTGTAATAAAAACTTAATATTGGACACTAGTTTATGAGTTAAACGCGGTGGCCTGGTGGCTAACGCGCTGAACCTTTACCCGCACCTTGCTGTTGTACGCTAATCTGACTCACGGCCTCTACATTTCTGAGTACATCAAGAACCATTCGAAATGACATAAGTTCTTCATTGAACAAAGACACGCGGCTCCTATTGGTTTACATATACTCAACAACTATTCACCGAAGTGGAGGTGGTTAGTGGTGGATATTTACCGAGCTGCGAAGCGGCGAGGTAGATATCCACCGCTAACCACCGACACTGAGGTGAATAGTTGTTTTAGTATATA